TTTTTTCTGTAGCTCTCAACTTCCCAGGTAATTGGTCTTCATCACATTGTGTTTCTTTGACTTCCCCTTTCCTCTATCTCCTCCCCTCTGCGCTACTTGGGTTCTCTTCTCAGTTTTATACGGTAGATGAGAACCAACCCAGGAATTCGAGTCAGAGGCTCCAGGTTCAATCCCTCTCTGGGTCTTAGTTTTCAAGTTTTTATAGGGAGGACTATGTGATCTCTAATGACTCTTCCACCTCATACATTCTATGAGGTAAATAAGCAGTTCAGTGGATAGAGCACTAGACCCAAATTTAGGATAAGACCTGAGTTCAAATACAGAATGAGATGCTTACTAACTATGTGACTCTGGGTAAGTCTTCTATTTGCCTCCATTTCTCCATCAATAAAATGAGGATGATAATAATCCTACCTCCAAGGGTTGTTGTTGTGAAGATAAGATGAAATCATATTTGTAAAGCAATTTACAAAGCTCAAAGTCCTACAGAAATGCTGATTATTGTTACCATTATAATTGCTCTGGGTCCAGGGCCAGGAGGGAGAGCCAATGTGGTTGGCACATGTGACTGAAAGGTCAGGATTCTTTCTCCCTTAGATTAATAGACTGCTGGAGTTGGAAAGAACCATCCAACAGGACACCGACCCCCACATTTTACAAATGGGCAAAGTGCTTTATATGCATTGTTCATTTTATCTTCTCACCAGCCAAATGAAGTAGACAAAACAGGTTGCATTATCCCCATTTTGCAGAGATGGCAACTGAAGCCCAGAGAGCATAAATGATTTACTGCTGGTATCACCTGGAATAGTTTTCTTTCTTCCTTCTTTCCTTTCTCCCTCCTCTCCCTCTCTCTCTCTCTCTCTCTCTCTCTCTCTCTCTCTCTCTCTCTCTCTCTCTCTCTCTCTCCTCATCTCTGTCTTGCCTGGGCTAGAAGTACAAGTGGCCCCGAGCAGCCCAATCTCACTACCAAATGGCACAAATGCTTTAATTGTTCCATTTTCTGACCTGGGGAGGTTCACCTTCCTTGGGCAGCCTGGGGACCTACCATATTTGAGCCAGACTTGGTGTGGACACTTGATCAGCTTTAGCCCCACCATGGCTCAGAACTTCTGAAACCAAGTGACCAACTAGCCTTAACCTCCCTCAGCAGCAGGAATTACAGGTAGGGAGAAGAGATGACTTCTGCAATCCCTTACCAACTCAGAACTTCTGTGATGCTGGGATCAGAATCAGGTCACACAGGTAGAGAGGAACAGAGACTTAGGGCTAGAACTCAGATCTCCAAACTGCTAGTATAATACTGTCTCCATCACACAATGCTGCTTCCCTCTTAGAAGATCTGAATTTGTAAAGTACTCTAAGATCCTCAGAAGAAAGATGAGAGAGAGAGAGACAGAGAGAGAGAGAGACAGAGAGACAGAGAGACAGAGAGAGACAGAGAGAGAGAGAGAGAGAGAGAGAGAGAGAGAGAGAGAGAGAGAGAGAAGAGAGCATATGAAGTGACATTTTCCCCAATGATGCCCTGGCCCTGGAGGTAGAGGTGGCGATGGGGGCAGAGTAATCGATGAGGTTTTAATAGGCCCAAGAGGCAGCTCCAGCCCCAGACAGCCAGACAGGGGGGTGGGGGAGGGAAGCAGTAGGTTTTCCCGCCTGCCGGGAGGAAAAGTAAACCAGATGCCATGGGTGGAAAGACTGGGAGCCAGGGATCGGCTCCTGTCCTGGCTTCTGTTTGTGGAGTTTCCAACTCCTTTTCCAGATGGAGAGTGGAGGGTCATTCAGAGCAGACGTGGGGGTTGAGGACATAGAATCTGGGGCATACTAGCTTCTATCCTTCCTTTCCCATCCACCCCCAAAATGACCTCTGCCGGCATCACTGCTCCTCCCTCCCTCCCTTGGCCCTGCCTCCTCCTTTACCCTCCCCACCAGACAGAGAAAGGGAAAGGCCCAGGTTGGGGCCTCCACCAGATGCGCTGGAACTGCCAAGGCTGGGGGTGGGGGCAGTGGACAACAGAAGGAGGGCTGGGTGATTTCCATCATTTGGCCATCCCCAGGGGCCAGACTAGGGAGAGGGAGCCCCAGGGCTGGTCAGCACTGTATTGTAGGGGATGTATGTGCATAGTGGTAGTGTTGGGGGGTGGAAGGTAAGGACCCAGGAGCCCAGCTTCATCCCAAGTCCTTCTCCACAGCTCCTCAGATTTAGACAGATGCCTAGGAGACAGGGTCAGCCTTACCAAGAAAGCCTAGTGGTCCTAGAATAGCTTTAGAGCTGGAAGGGCCCATAGTGATCATTGAAGCCAATGCTCTCACCTTACAAAGGAGAAAACTGAGGCCCAGAAAAGGGAACTGACTTGCCCAAGGTCACACAACCAGGAAGTAGCAGAGCTGACATTTGAACCCAGGTTCTCCAACTTTAAAGCCAGTGCTTTTCCCCCAATGTCACCCTGCCCTAGGTCTCCCTCTGCCTACCACCCACCCTGGAGGCTTCCAGCTCTGCTGCAGCCCCTCTGGCTCTGAAGCTCTGGCTCCAGAATTCCCCTTCGAGCCTGAAACCCATCAGGGGCTCAAGCTGAGAGTGTCCCAGGGTGACTCAGTCGTTCCATTCTGTCCAGGAAATGACTCAGTACCTGCCCTCCCCTCTGCCATTTCGCCATGACCCCCTCCCACTGATCCAGTCCCTCAGGCTGTCCCTTTCTCTCCCTCTGCCTGCCTGACAGTCGGGGGCCCTCTCCACACTATAGATTCATTCTGTGCTTCAGATCAGCCCTCCCTTGGCAGACTTACAGAATCTCAGAGCTCCAAGAGACCTCAGCGGGGCCCTGGATTAACCAAGTCTGGATGAGAATCCACAACTAGGGGGCATCCGACCTCTTGCTTAAAAACCGTCCCCAATGGCGGGGAGCCCACAATCCCTGGAGGAACTCCATTCAACTTTCCGATGGGATGTTCTCCCTAGAACAGAATATTTCATCTGTCTATCTACCCCAACCTCCCTCTGTCCACCCCATCCATATACCCCATCCACCTCTTCAGATTCCAGCCTAAGGATTTAGATATTAATGAAACTCAGGAAAAAGATAACAGGAGACTCAAGAGCTATAAAAGTCCATCATCTGGTCCAAATCCCCCATTTTACAGGTGAGGAAACTGAAGCCCATCTAACTTTTGTTAGATGACTTTTCCAAGGTTACAAAGGTGTCGATGTTTAGTTTTGTCCCACTCTCCGTGATGCCATTTGGGATTTTCTTGGCAAAGATACTGGAGCCATTTCCTTCTCCAGCTCATTTTACAGATGAGGAAACTGAGGCAAACAGGGTTGAGTAACTCATCCAGGATCACACAGCTAGTAATTGTCTGAGGCCAGATTTGAACTCAGGTTCTCCTGACTCCAGGCCCAGTGCTCTATCCACTGTGTCACCTGCCCGCCTCAACACAGGTACACAGGCAGGAAGCAGCAAAGCCAAGATTCCAATACAGGTCCTTAGACTTTAGGGATCCTTCACCTGTACTGTTCTACTTCTAAAAGACATATTCTGGGATAGGAGGGAGAGCATTCCCGGGGCAAAGAGACTCCTCCCTCACCCCCCCCGCCAAGGAATAAAGATAGAAACAGGGCCTCAATCAATCCAGTCAAGTCAAAAGCATCTCCTTAATTCAAACAACATGGGATCCAAGTCTTCTGACTCATAGGTGAGCAGCCAGACAGAGGAATGGGCCCCACCTAGACCTGGGCTCACATCACTTCCCATCACCTACTCTCCTCCTCCTGGTAGGCAGTTCACCACCACCTGGCCCCTTCTTCCCAGCAGACAATACTTTCCTTGGGGAGAAAGAAAGAAAGAAAGAAAGAAAGAAAGAAAGAAAGAAAGAAAGAAAGAAAGAAAGAAAGAAAGAAAGAAAGAAAGAAAGAAAGAAAGAAAGAAAGAAAGAAAGAAAGAAAGAAAGAAAGAAAGAAAGAGAGAGAGAGAAAAGAGAGAGAAGAAAGAAAGAAAGAAAGAAAGAAAGAAAAGAGAGAGAGAGAAAAGAGAGAGAGAGAAAAGAGAGAGAGAGAAAAGAGAGAGAATGAAGGAAAGAGAGAGAGAATGAAGGAAAGAGAGAATGAAAGAAAGAGAGAAAGAAAGAGAGAATGAGAGAAAGAAAGAGAGAATGAAGGAAAGAGAGAATGAGAGAAAGAGAGAGAGAATGAAAGAAAGAGAAGGAAGGAAGGAAGGAGGGAGGAAGGAAGGAAGGAAAGAAGGAAGGAAGGAAGGAAAGAAGGAAGGAAGGAAGGAAGGAAGGAAGGAAGGAAGGAAGGAAGGAAGGAAGGAAGGAAACTGGATCTGGAGCTGGAAAAACTTTGTTGAAATCTTGGCTCTGTGGCTTTCCACCAGTGTAACCTCAAACAAGTCACTTCCCCTCTATGGCCTCAGTTTCCTGATTTCTAAAGTGAGGAGGTTGGAACAGATGACTTTGGAGATCTTTTCCAGCTCAGGATCCAGAACACTGTGGAGCAGTGGTGTTGACAAGAACTCTGAGCTTCACCAGATTGTAGGAATTAGAGATGGGAAGGCTCTTAGAGGTCATCCAGTCCAACCCCCTAAAATTATGAGTGAGGAAACTGAGGTTGTAGCAGGGGAAGAGATTTCCGAAGGACCCCCCGGTAAATGGAGGGGGTGAGACAGAAGGAGGGTTCAGAAGGGTGCCGTCTTTGGGGAGAAATAGGAGGGAAGGTAGAGAAAAAAGAGCGGGCACTCCAGCTACCTCTCCCTCTCCCCATACAACCAATTCTTCCCTTCCCCAACATTTTCCCTTAGCGTTAGATTCATTTAGTCTACAGTAGATTTTAGTTTCAGCAACTACCCTGATGATCCTTGTTTGCCAGTGGCCCACTGGGGAAGCAGGTGACCCAGTGGAGAGAGCACTGGGCCTGGAGTCGGAAGACCTGAGTTCAAATCCAGCCTCAGACACTTACTTGTTTGCCTCAGTTTCCTCATCTGTAAAATAAGCCAGAGAAGGAAATGGCAAACCAGTCCACTATCTCTGCCAAAGCCCTAAATGGGTCATGGAGAGTCAGACACAACTCAACAACAACAACCAATGGAGAAATGCATTGTCAAATGCCCCATCACAGAGAGTCAGAGAGCGCTGTTAGAACATCAGCCCCTTGAGCACAGGGATGACGTTACTTTTCTTTCTGTTTTCCCGTTGGACAGCAGGGTGCTGGGCACAGGGTGAGCACTTACCAAAGGACTGTTGAGATCAGCTTAGCCACCCCCTTTTTGTGGGGCAGCATTTGGTGGAATTAGGTGGGTTGGTCAACCCCCAGAACTACTGCAGACAAGGACGTTGTGGTACAGACTTGGGGCAGGTACATTGGATCTGGAACCCACCTGTGGACCTTTGGACAAGAAGAGCTTAAAAGCAGGTTTTTGGAGGGTGGCAGATGACTCCTGTGCCAGGGAAACTCCTTGCTGGAACTCACTTATTTCTTCTTCAGACACTCTTTCCTGGGGGTATTTGAAGGTCCTTTTATTAAAGAGATTGTTTGTTTGAACCTGGGGCTCTGAGGGACCCAACCAGATGTGGAACCGGGATGTGGAGGCTACCCATTGCCCAGAAGGGGCAACTGAGGCCCAGAGAGGGGAAATGAGTTGCCCTAGGTGGCCCAGCTAAAGCTTTGGAGGTAGGACTCAAATCCAGTATCCTGACTCCCATTGCAGGGTCTTTTTTCCCCTGTACTGCCTAGAATGCTTTCCCTCCCCTTCAATTTCTCCTTACTTTGAACCCAGGTCTCCTGGTTACCCGTCCAGGCATCTTTCCAATGGAATTTGGCTGCTGCTTTTTTGCATTAAATTGTAAGTTCCTTGAGGGCAGGGACTGTCTTTTGTCTCTTTTTGTATCCCCAGTGCCTGGCACAATGCCTGGCACATAGTAGGTACTTAAGAAATCTTTATTAATTGATTGATTAGACTCTTAAATCTCTAGTGAGACAGAATGCTGTAAAGGAAAGAGCCCTAGGTTTGGAGGCAGAAGACCTGGGTTTGAATCCTGACTCTGCCACCTATTATCTGTGTGACCTTGGGCAAGTCACTTCCCTTCTCTCTGGGCTTAGTTGCCCAAACTATTAAAAGTAAAGTTTCGACTAGATTATCTCCAAGGTCCCTTCTGACTCTAAATCCTATAATGGCTCCTAAGTGCCCACAGGACAGGGGCAACCAGGTCCTAGAATCATGCCAGTAGGGACCTTACAATTGATCTGGCCCAGCCCCTTCTTTCTACAGATGGGGAAAGTGAGTTCTTGAAAGAGGAAGCCATCTGATCCAAGCCTGAGGAAGGCCCGTTTGCTGATGATCCCAGGCCTCCAGAGACGTGACAAGCCTGGGCCTTTATTCCTTTTTTTCTTTAGAGTCAGAGGACCTGGGTTTGAATCCCTGTACTCCTAACTAACTGTCTGACCTAGACCAAGAACATCGTAAGACTGCCCAGGGCCTCAGTTTCCTTATCTGTAAAACAAAGGCATTGGATCAGATGGTCACTAAGGTCCTATATTCCCACCCCTCCTCTATTTCAGGCCTCTGTGTCTTGGTCCTTTTGGAAACTGCTGCAGCCCAGAGCTCCAAAGGTGAGTATGCTTGGAGCCCACCCCATTCACAGCTGGAGACTGAGGGAAGCCCAGCCAGGGAAGAGAGAGGCCTGATCTGGGGAGTAGGGCATAGAGAGAGGCTGCCTCTACAACTCAGCAAACCCCACTCAAGTCCCTTGGCTATATCCCCCCTCCAATGCCGCCATCCTCACTCGAGATCAAATCCCTACTCTGTTACTGGCTAGCTGGGTGGTCCTGAGCAATCCCGGGCCTCAGCCTCCTGATCTGTAAAATGGAGGTGATGATACTTGTGCCATGGACCTCACAGAGTTGTAAGGAAAACACCTGATAAGCTTTAAGGTGTGGTGGAAATGTGTTATCTTTTCAAAAATTGTTATTAGCCTCACTACTTCCTCCTTACCCCAACTAAATGATGAGAAAAAAGAAGCTATTGTTGGCCTCCTTCCCTTATCTGCCAGGTTCACAGGTTAGCCAGTTAGCTGACCTCCTAAGCTATGGACTCCCCAAACCCCCAACCAGGTATAGAGATGAAGCTAACAGAATATAACAAGGGCTACTCCCATAAGAGCATCAGCTGTCAGTTTCCTCATCTGTAAAATGGGGGTAATATTCACAGTGTTTCATACCTTACAGTAATGTTGTGGCAGATGTACTATATAAACCTGAGAGCGTTCCAGAAATCAGGGTTCTGACTATCAGTTTTATTCCTCTGGCTAGGTTCTCAATGTCGGTGTCCCCAGCATGCCACTTGTATCAACGGGACCCACTGCACCTGTAATGATGGATTTGCTACTTGGAGTGGGCAGAAATACTTCAATGACCCTCTGGAGATCTGTGATGGTAAAGAGGCCTTACCCACATTAGTCCAAGAGTTGGGAACCAGAAGGAGAGAGCAGCTGAGTGAGGGGGAGGGAGGTGCAAGGAACCCTGCCAAGTGGCTGCTTTTTGTAGAGAAGGGAAGTGGAGGAGGCAGGAGACAGGGGGAGAAGGCAAGAGGGAAAGAGAAGCAGCAGCAGAAGAGTGGCCTGGTGGTGATGGGGTCAGGATGCTGGTGGGCCTCGGTGGCAGCCAGGAACCCGTGAGGCTAGGATCTCATACTGCTGGCCCGTTAACTTGTTCTGGTCATCTCAGTCACTTCAATGCCTCGGTTTCCCCATCAGCAAATGGCCGCTGTGCTTGGTGATTGAGGAGGTAACTCCAATGCATCTGTGATGTCATCAGTTTGGATATTCCCTCCAATAAAGCAGCTCACAACCCTTGCACGCCTTCCCACCCTGGATGACTCTCTTGTCCGAGTCCTGTCCTTGAGTTTGACACACACAGACTTGCAGTTCCCCCCAAGGTGCCTGAGGCCTTCCTCACTTTCTCCTGAAAAGGAGGAGACTCATGGAGCGTTCTGGCTGTTCACCTGTGTCTTTTGAAGCTTAGTAGTTGTGTGACCTTGGACAAGTCACTTCACCTCTGTTTACCTCCATTTACTGAACTGTAAAATGGGGACCATAATAGCACCTGCCTCAAAGGGTAGTTATAAGGATCAAATGAGATGATATTTGTAAAAGTATCTGGCACGTAGCAGGTGCTGTATAAATTTTTATTCCCCCCCACACACCACCATGCAACTCTCCATTTCTCTGTATCTGATACACATTTTAAATTCTTCAGAGATTCTTGTGTTCATGTCTTATAGCCAAACCACAACACTGGTCAAATATTAGCTTATAAAATATCGACTTTTGTTCAGGGGGAAAGATTGAGACCCTGAAAGGAGGCTTACAGTTTCTTTTTTTTTTTTAGATTTAATTTCATTTGTTTGTTTTTAGTTTGCAACATTCACTTCTATAAGATTTTGAGTTCTAAATCTTCTCCCCCTCCCTCCATTCCCCCTCTCCAAGATGGCATGTAATCTGATATAAGTTACACATCTTACAGTTTCTTGAAGGCAATCCAGCCTTCTCTCCTCCTCCTGCTTAATTTTAGGCCCAACTCATTATTCATTTGTAGTATCTGTCCCAGAAATACATACAGATGGACAAGCTCTTTATGTTGTTCATGTAACAAAAGGTCATAATCTGGGCAATAGACATACTTCATCCACTTAGTCTTTCCTGTGTGGATGGTCAAGCCAAATCTTTTGAGCGATTATGGATTGGGGAGAAACAAAGAAGAATGCCATAGACCCTGCCTTCAAAGAGCTTACTAGAAAGGATAGGACACAAATAAGTAGAATACAAAGTAGACTGTGATAGACCACCCTCAGCCACCCCAAAAAAGGCCAAAACTTTGAATGGGGAAAGTTGAACAGAGAGAGAGATTCCTTTGAACTGAGGCAAGGGGGTGGGAATGTAAACTCTTTGGGGACAGGGAGCCTGTTCTGGTTTTGTTCTCAGTTCCTGGCACACAGTAGACATTCAATTAGAGTTTGTATAATTGAACTGAACAGAAGATCCTCACAGGCAGGGATGAGGAGGCAGTGTGCTCCAGGCAGGAGGTACAGCCTAGATAAATACATAGAAGTAAGAGATGGCATGATGACCAGGAGAAGCAGAATTTCCCAACCACGGATCGTGGCAGAATGATTTTCCTACTCTAAAAAACATTTACTCTTTAAAATTATTGAGATATAGTCACTTATATTCTTAAAGAGCATCTTGGAGCACTAAGAGGTTAAGTGACTTTCCCAGGATGACACAGCCAACATGTGTCAGGGGCAGGACTTGAACCTGGGTCTTCTGGCTCCAAGGCCAGCTCTCTGTCCACCATGATATTCTTGCCTCTCTAAAAGCACTAGCAAAACATTTTAAATCCAAAGAAAATGAAGCCCAAAGAGCTTGTGCCTGAGGTAGCTGGTGAGCTCAGTGGATTGAACATAAGACCCAGAGTCAGAAAGACCTGAGTTCAAATCCAACAGCAGATGCTTGCCTGACCCTGGGCAAATCAGGTCACTTTGCTTCCTTCCACTTCATAAACTGTAAAATGGGGATAATAACAGAACCCAACTCCCGGGTTGTTGTGAGGATCAAGTGACATAATATTTGTAAAGCACTTTATAAACCATAAAGCACTATTGAAATGCTATAATTATGATTGTCCATAGGCAGGTTGTAAGTAGCTGCTGAAAAATGGCGTCTTATCACCGGGAAGCCAGAGCGTCCAATGGGAAGAGCATTGGCTCTGGAGTCAGAGGAGGGGAGAATTAAATCCCACCCTTGATACTCACTGGCTGCGTGAACCTGGACAAGTCACTTCCCCACTATGGGTTTCCCTTCCTTTTTCTGTAAAAGGAGGAGGTCAGGCCCCTAGCTGTAAACATGTAATCCCATATCCTGGATCAAATTCTTGTTGTCTGATTTTAACTGGCCCTTCTGTGCTAGATAGTAATCCCTCAATTCTCTCTCCCTCCCTCTCCCTGTCCCTCTCCCTCTCTCTTCCTCTCTCTCTCTCTCTCTCTCTCTCTCTCTCTCTCTAGGTAAGTTTTCTCCTGTTTCATCTCCAATCTGGGCCAATTTCCCCATCTTTAGGCAGCCTGGTGGCCTTCTGCTACTAGGAACTGACTATATTGGTGCTGGACTTAGTGTGGACACTTGATTCACTTGATACCTCTTGTAGCTCAGAATTCCAAAGCTCAAGGGATCCACCTCAGTCTCCCTCTCAGGTGGCAGAGTTTTTTGGGCATCCTATCTGCCTGATCCTTTTGTTTTTCATGATTTAATCTCGGTAATACTTCTAAAGTGTCTACCCTTCGAATGTGGCAGTTCAAAACCCTGTTCTGTCCCCTTAAAACTCTCATGGCCATGACCATCTGCCCCCTTGGGTCTCAGCAAAGAACCTGGCCTCCTACTCTACTGAGAAGATCAAGGCTGCCCTTCCAGAGCTCCTTCACCTCCTGCATTTCATACCCCCCACACCCATCCTCTTCTCCTGTTCTTCTTTTGTTGGGGAAGAGATATCACTTTTCCTTGCCATGGACAGCTCCTTCACTCATGCCCTCCATCTCATCCCCTCTCATCTCCGCAGGAGCTGGCCCTGGAGACCATGACCTGACCTTCCCCTCCAAATCATCAGCCTCTCCTTAGCCATGGGATCCTCAGATCTCTCCCATCCTCAGAAATCCCTCTCTTGACCTCCTCAAGTTAGCCTTCTCTATCGTTTCTTTCTTTTACCATCAGAGGCCTGAAAAGACTTGTCTGTACTTACATGCCAGCAGGAATCTTCCAGTTAGAATTCAGAGATGAAGCTTGACACTGTCGCTGAGCCCACCTCCTTGCATTGACTTGATATGTTTTCTTTTCTTCCCTTTTCTTTTTTTGAATCAATAAGCATTTCTTTCCTCTTCCTCCCAATCTCTTGAAAAAGAAAGAGAAAAAGAAAGGCCCCATAATAAATAGCATACTGCAGTCAGATGACACAAATTCTCTCATTGGCCATATGTATATATGTGTGTTTCATTTCTTATTTTCTTCTCTTCTTATGTGGCAGATGTTAATGAATGTGTATCACCCATCAGTATCTTTTGTGGTAAGAATGCAGACTGTGTTAATACAGACGGAAGTTATCACTGCTCCTGTGTCCCTGGATATGCATTTCCTTCTGGGGAGAAGACATTCCAAATGCCACCATGAACAACTGTCAAGGTACAAACCTCTCTGGCATTCTTTGGCTAGCCTGGGACTCAGTGAAGAGCTCTTCCTGCTGAGCTGAGAAAGAGAAGTCCCTCCCTGCACGGACCACCTCTGCCCAGGGCCCTTTGCCTCCTCATATGTCCCCTTCTCTCCTTCCTCAGGCCCCTCCCTCACTCTGCCTCTCTCTGATCAGTGCCCTTAGCTCCTCTCTACAGGGGCCGCCTCTAAATCCTGGAAACTCTCCCCTTTCCCTATTCGGTCCATCCCCGCTCAGGCCCCCTCAGGAAACCTCATCCAAGTGCTGTGGCCAGACCTGGGCTCAGGCCTGGGAGGTTCAGATCTCGTTCCAGGACATTACCCAGAGAAAGAATTGAGGCCACAAGAGGCTGACCTGCGCGACAATGCTGCCTCGTGGGACTCAATAGTTAGGAGTCACAGGGAGGGGGGATATTTTGGAGGGGACTAGACAGTGATGTCTCCACCAATGCCCTGCTAACTGCTCTCAAAGGGAGATGTCTGAGGCACTGAGAGGCTGGGGGCCTTGAAGACTCATGGAGCCAGCATGTGTCTGAAGGGAAACTTGAACCCAGATCTTCTGAACTCTCAGCCTGGCTCCCTCTCCACTCTGCCACATTCCCTCTCTTCTCCAACAGGCTTTAACTTCCCCCTGCCCCATTACATGGGCCATTTCTTTTCCTTTCTTGCTTCCTTTCTTTCTTTTTTTCTCTCTCCACCCCCATCTGCTCCATCCTGGGTAGGACTTCCTCTTGCCTCAGCCTCACAGACCAACAGGGGCCTCCAGCCTGAGGGGAGGAGAGATCATCAGAATTAGTAGCTGGATTTCCACAGCTGTTCAGGTTTACAAAGCCCTCCCTTCTCTCGTATTTTACCTCCCATTTACACTGTACATATCTTGTCTGTGCACGGCTGTTTGCATATTGCATCCCCCTGAGACTATGAGCACATCCTCCAGTACAGAGACAGAGTTTTGCCTCTCTTTGTACCCCCAGTGTGCCTAGCACAGTGCCTGGAACATAGGAAGTATTCCATAAATGCTTATGGACTGACTGACTGAGGGAGATACTAGAGATATCTTTGGTCCTCTGATAAGGAAAGTGAGGTCCCTGGAGGTACAGAAGCCTACCTCTGTGCAAGGCCCCCTCCCTCACTGTGGACCAGGTCCCCACCCAGGACCAAGCTTTTCTTCTCTAGCAGCTGCTG